GAAGAATGAAAGAAGACAAGTGGCCAGGGGGAGAAGCTCTGGTCAAGACATGGAGGCCTGGGGCTTGGGGGCTTTACTGCTGACTGGCAGCAGTCTCCTGGTCTCCTGGGTTGTCAGGTGAGCAGGGGATTGTGCTGTCACCTTCAGACCTGTGCTCTCCCGGGCCAGAGTGCACAGGCATCTGGTAAGAGGCCCTCCTGCGCCTCTGGCTCTTTGCTCCTGTCCTTGATCCTTAGTTCTTCACCCAGCATCTTCAGTCACCCAGCCTGCTGTGGCAGCCGTGAGGGCCCATTCATTCTCACCCTCTGCTTAGACAGGGGTCCTCCCGCCACACAGGGGCCCAACTGGCTGAAGGACAGAAACACATTGAAGAGATTGTCTCCTCCACCTTGCTGTGTCCACTGGCTCTAGATGGTCAACTGGGGTTATCATCCAGTGGACTCCATTCCTTTTGAAAAATCTTGAACTTAGTGCCTCAGCCTGTTGGCTTGTCACCTGGGCTTAGAGTCAAAGCTGATGATCAACCATGATGTTCCCCCTGGAAGCTCCACAGCCAGGTGGAGGCAGGTAACACAGGAGAACCCAAGGGCAGCAGGACTACACTCCTGATTTCTTAGGCTAACAAGAAAAGACTTTACCTCTATTCTGGAATACACGGACTAAAAAGAGAATAGAAAAACACATCTTCCTCATTTGTGCTCTTGATGTTGAGTCTGTGTTAATTACTCACTACAGCATCAGTGAATCCAAGCAGGATATGCCGTGGACTGGGTTGTTCCTTTGGCTGCCCAGGATCTAAGCTTCCAGTCCATGTTTGGGAAACCGTGCACAGTGCCGCAGCTGTTCCCCAAAGCCTTTTGCTGTTTCTCCTGGGTGCTCAGTTGAAAAGCATTCCCCAGCCCATCAATTCCCTGAGGACAACAGAACGTAGATGGAAATGTGATATCCATGCTTCAAGCCTGGCCTATTTATTCCATTCAGTCCTCTGGTTTCTGTGAGCTCAGCACTCATATGTGAGATGGCCTTGAAAGCACAGCGTTAAGAAGCAGGCGGAGCCTCCATTGGCCAGGATCCCTGCTGGGGTAGAATGGACCATGCCCTTGCTGACCACAGCCACTCCCTGACTGGACTCCATGTGAAATGCAAAGCAAGTATCTACCTGTCTTTGGACTCAGACACTACCGTGACAGCAGCCAGCATCTCGTGGGTATGTCTTGGTGAGAGGGGATGGCCATCTGCTGTGGCGAGGACCAAAGTCTCCTGTGCACCCACAGGGCATACATGTGACCTTGTCTTTGTCAGTCTGACACATTCACTCCAGATTGTGCCTCATGAGCTAGCAACACAGAGAGGCCAGGTCACCAGGATCACATTCTGGAAGGAGGTGGCAGCAGGGACGGCTCTTCCATCCAGATTCTGGGGATGGCAGTATCCGGTGTTCCGGCTCATGGTGCTGATGATGTGAGGGCAGGGCCTGGTTCCACTGGTGCAGATGTGACCCTTCCCAGCGGCGGTGTGGTTCTAGACATGGCATTTGCCCAGTGGCTGCCCAGCCGGCTTTGCCAACCTGCTCCCAAGTCCGAGTCCTTTGACAGACATATCTCCCCACAAACCCTTCTGCTAAAGTCTGTGAGAGCTGATTTCCTTAGCTGTGGCTAACCACTCCTACTGACAGTGTGCGTCACCAAGGGGAGAAAGACAAGGGGACTTTCTTGGCCCACTGCTTCAGGAACTGGCCTTTCTCTAGGGCATATATTTTACTTTATGAGACACAGTCAGGGCCTGGGGTATAGGTCTGTGGCAGAGCGCTTTCCTGGTGTGTGAGAGGCCCTGGCTCCATCTCCAGCACCACAAAAGGAAAACAGGAGAAGCAGAGAGAGAGCCAGGGAGGCTCGTTCCTGCTGGCTCCTCTAAGCAGGCTTCCCTTCTGTACTCTGATTGCCTCGGGCTGTGCTGAAATAGATTAAATTCTACCAAAATAAAGCCTGCTATTTGGGGACATAGGGAATTCAAAAGAAAAGCAAAATGTGGAAAAGAAAACTTAGAACAATGCCCAAGGAGGCCAAGTCAACAGAGCCCCGTGGGAATACTGGAGTCCATATTGCAGACAAAGCAGAGCAGTCATTCTGGGTCAACTGGACTCTTCCTGCAACCAAGGCACACTTTAGATCTTGTCAAGCCACAGGCTTTTTTTTTTAAGTTGTATATGGACACAATATCTTTATCTATTTTTTTTTAATGTGGTGCTGAGGATCGAACCCAGTGCCTCAGGCATGCTAGGTGAGCGCCCTACCACTGAGCCACAGCCACAGCCCACTATGCGCTTTTTAAAGTCCCCACGTTCCACCACAAGCCTGGAACTAGGTCAAAGAAAACATCCTGCATGAGAGCAAGTGGGATTGGGGCGAGTTTGCTGGCTCTTTACCTCAAGACATCATTACTGTGCCAAAGTGGCCCTGCAGCCAGGGGACAGTCCTACGGTGGTTGGATGGAAGAAGTAAGGTCAACCAGCCATGGCAGAGACCGGCAGTCTCGCCCAACATGACCACTGCTTCCTCCCATCCCACCTGAGAAGCCCAGGGAGTATGGTATGCTGCTGGGGTGGCCCCTGGGAACACGCCTCCTGCCACACACCACAGGGCAACGAGACAGGGACATTCCCCGCCTGGACCTGAGCTGTCCCTGGGAATGACTGACCACTGGAATGTGGCACAAATGTGCACCTGTCCCAGAGGCTGGACCTCAGGAGGCCCTACAGTGTCCCCTGCTCCCTTCTGGAATCGTCAGACACCCAGGACAGCCCCCTGTGGAGGAGTCCCAAGGTCCTGGGGTGGCAGTCAGCCCCAGACATGGCACCCTGGGCCCTCCAGTTGGCTTGTCTGCAGGCTGAATGCAGCCAATTCATGACCCCAAGGGAGAGTCTGAAGCTCGGCCGGCCCTCACGATGGTGGGCAGCAGGCCACCGTGGCTCTGCGGCTCAGTCCTGCAGAAGCTGAGCTGCCAGAGGAAACTACCGGAGGTGGACCAGATGTCTGCTGTGACAGGTCAAGAAGGACCTGAGTAGGACAGGGGCTGGAAGACAGAGAGGCTCTGTGAACTTTGGCATCTAATTAGCTTTGGACTCTTTAAACTTGGAGACTTGTCAAGTGGGCTAATGGGGCTAAAAAAGACAAGGATTTGTGATAGAAATTATAGCTCATATTCAGAGAGGTTGGTTTTCAAACTTCTTCCCTTGTATTCCAGGAATCCAGCTCAGAGGGAAATCTACGGCATATCGCACGGGGTTTTGCCTCTTCCACTCCCTGGCACCTGCCTAAACTTGGGGGCAACCCAGCTTCTGGGATTCTGCCCCCTGCCTGACAGCCCTCAACCCAGCCCCCTCTTCCGATGCCTGCGGGTCACAGATGCACAGAACGCATACCTGAAACAGACCAACCACTTTGGAACAAAAATTATCTTTCATACAAGTTTATTTAGGAATTGTTATGGCTTGGATGTGAGGTGTCACCAAAGCTCTCACTGTGTGAGACAGTGCAAGAAGGTTCAGAGGACTGCACTGCTATCCAATCAGTGCATGAATCCCCTGATGGGAGTCACCAAGTGGCGACTGAAGGTGGGTGGGCTGTGGCTGGAGGAGGTGGGCATGGGGACATGGCTTTGGGGTATGTATTTCGTGAGCTGACCTTAGTCTCTGCTTCCTGAACATCATGTGGGCCACTTCCCTCTGCCACACTCTTCTGCCATTATGTCCTGCCTCACCTCAAGCACCAAGGAATGGAGCTGGCTGTCTGTGGACTGAGACCTCTGAAACCATGAGCCCCCAAATAGACATTTCCTCCTCTAATGAGGTCTTTTAGTCACAGCAGCAAAAACACTGCCCCTCTGCCCACGGAAACACTCCATCTAGAAACTGGCAGTGCACTGCCCCCTCTTCTGCACCCCAGCGTTCAGTTCTGCTGTGTCCACCTCCCAGTGTCTCAGCTCTCCCCGCCCTCCTCTCAGGCTTGGGGGATGGCGGTGCAGTCCTGAGCAGCCTTCCACGTCCTGCTTTCTCTGTGGCTTCCCTGGACACCCCACGGACAGCCAGCAAGCACTTCCAGAGCATAAAGGGGTCCAGCCTCTCCCCCTGCAGCATTCCTCACGGTTCCCAGGCCCTGGCTGCGAGATGGCCCACTGCCCGCCTCCAGCTGCCCCTGGTGTCACTGTGGCCCCTGCTTTGGTCAGCTCCAGGCCCTTGTCCTCCTGGTGCTGCCCAGTGCACACATTCAGTATATGTCAGTCCCTACCCTGGGCATGCTTCCCACTCTCCTCCGGCGCCTTCCTTGCAGTGCGGGCCCCGTCACCCTCACCCTCTGCAGCGGCCTTCCGTCCCACCCCCACTTCCTTCCTTACTAGCACTTGCTGCGGTAAGTGTGTCGGCTGCTACCCCTCCTGCTCCACCACCTGCTCCAGCTCCAGGGGTCACACTCAGGAGCCAGGGAGACGTGGTAACCACAAAGCAATGGCCACGCGTGTGCTGCCCTCACTGGTGTGAAATCCTCAGAATCACACCTCACTCTGTGGCAGCTGTTCTTACCGTCACTCTCCCTCTGCGGAAGATAGGAGTGACAGCCCTGCTCCAATGAGTTGGCTGATGCAGGACAGCCCCGGCCCCTGTGACTGGCAGCACCAGGTTCTACCGCAGGTCCAGCTGATGACCTGCAGCCAGGGGTGCCAACCTCCGCTTGGTGCTTCTGGATTCTCCCCAAGATAGACCCAGGGCTCTGCTTTGCTTATCCCCAGGTGTAGGCATGGTTAAGTTTCAGGTCACTGTCCCCTGACTGCTGGGCTAACCTGCATAGAACACTGCCATTCAAGGTAATGGTCACCAGGTCCCCAGCTCTCCTTCAGTGGGACTGGCATTCAATTCTCCCTTCTTCCTGGTGGCCTCTCACTAACACTCTGCATGACCACAGTTCAAGCACCAAGTGCCAACATCGCCCGCAGTGAAGGAATCATACCTCGGAATTCCAGTCCTCGAAGTTGAAAGGTGACAAGCCCGTTGCCAATCTCAATCAGGTGCACAAAAGCATTGAGGTCATCTGAAGCCAAAATGAAGCAATCTCCAGAGCTATAGTTGCCCCAACGACCGAGAAGGAGGTCTCCACAGAGTGACTCCTGCAGGGTCCTTGTCAAGTGCTCATAGAAGATAGAATTGAGGTTGTTGTCATCGCCCCCTACAGGCAGACAGGAACACAGCAGGTGAGTGGTCACGGAGCCTTCAGACCTGGGAAAAGGTCTGTCCCTGGAATAAGGCCAAATCAGACTCCCTGTACACCTTGAAGACCTGCTCTTCACCCCCTCAGTGGATGTAAGGGACACTATTACCCCTTTAGCCTCTCTGAAGCAGTCTGCTCCACACCAAGGATGGAACTGCCATCTAGATGCAAGTGCCCTACAGATTCCTGCCTCCACTGAGGTCTCTGAGCTCCAGCCTGTGCACCCCTGTTGTACTCAACACCTTCTCTGGGGGTCTCCAGTGCTGCTCAGCTTCCATGTGTCCATGTGGGTGCCCTTTGTCCACGATCCCATCTGAGTGGCTGGTACCACCACCCAGTTAGCCATGACCACACTTCTTTCCACTCCTGTTTCATCCACTTTAAATACTTTTTGAATCTTTGTACATTTCTCCATCTCTGATACCCCTAGCTCAGTCAAGCTACCAATATTTCTGCTGTGGGCAGCCTCTGTTTATTTGAGGGACCTGCTATCCCATCCCAACCTGCAGAAGAACCAGCTTTTCCAGTTGAAGAGCAGAGCATGATTCCCAGGACCCCTTCAGCCCATTCCTGTGCCTTCTCAATGCTCTTAAGATGGACAGAACTTCTCAGCCTGACCTGTGAACTTCATCATTCACAGGAAAGAGCTAGGACTGTCCTGGGCAGGCTCACTCCCAGGGCCACACAAGTCACTGTGGTCTGGTCTTTGTCTCTCTCCTCACCCTTACACCCAGCACACGAAACTTCCAGCTGGGGGTCTCTCGCCTCCCACCTGGACCTGGGGGGACGTGGCCCTGCCTGGGCTGCCCTGGCACCCACTTTGGATTATCACCTGTGGCTCTCTCCTCAGACATCAGCCCAATCACTTCAGGACAATCCTGTACGTGGACTCTTGCACTGTAGCCTACTACTCTGACACCACTGTGCTTTTGCTTTGTGTGTACGTGGGTTTTCGGTTACTCAATTAGTGTCTAATTTCTTGTCTGCCCCACAATTTCAGTGAGGAGAAGTCTAGATCTGAATTTGCTTGTTTTCATATCCTAGTCCTGGAAGAATTTGCAACTCATGGTAGGAATTAACTAAATACCTGTTGAACAACAGGTGACGCCACAGAGCATTCTCTAGGGTCTCCTAGAGAAATGTTTCAAGGAAATGCCCATCAGGCACCTCCAGGACACTGTTTCCATCAACGTCACTGAGGTATAATTTATAGACACTACACAGCACCCATTTATATATATATGCTATCATACATGAATACAGTTATTATTAGCATTGTATGCAAGCTATGTTTACATATAATTCTATGCTTTATATGATACATATCATTATAATATAAATCATATATATGATTTATATTAAGTTTGTTTTAAATATGCATATACATTTTAATTAGGAACACTTTATAGAGGGCACCTTTCTGGTGTCCCCAGGAGTCCGAGGAAAGCATGCACCATGTGAGCACCACATGGGCCCGTGCTTTGCCCCTTGCTGTGTACCTCCTGTGCTGTATACCTGGGAGGTGCTGTGTACCTCCTGTGCTGTATACCTTGGAGGTCTGCTCTGCTTCACAGCTGGGTGTACTGCTGGGCACATAGTGGCTCACTTAGCCACTCGTCAGCTGAAGGGCTGTGTCCTGGGGGTGACTACGGGTAAAGCCACTGGGAATGCTTGCAAGCAGGAGCTGTGTGAAGGTGAGACCTGGGTGGGGTGCTGTCCTCCAAGCTGGCCCAGCCACCTCTGCATGCTCCACCTGCTCCACCCCGCTGTGGCTGAGTGCTCTAGCTCTGCATCCACGGGGGGTCAGTGCTGTCAGTGCTACTGGGTGTTGTAACTGGGCAGATGGTGACACTTAGGAGGGGGATAAGGGGAAAGAAGGGGCAGGAGGGAGGTGGGTGATGGAACACCCTGCCAGGCCAGGGCTGCAGGCTGAGGCTTGGGGGTAAGCGCGGTGCATTTCCCACACCCTCCCTGCTGGGCTCCGACTGCTTCCCTCCCCTCTGGGATCTGTGGAGAGGAGGCTAGAAGCTTTTTAGGAGAAGACTGGATAAACTGGGCCGTCTTCCTGGTCTTGTGGGTATAAGAAGCAGCTGGAAGTCTGGGAGAGGAGTAAGAGCTTCTATTTTTAGAGTGTTTTTTTTTTTCTTTGGGGAAGAAATTCCAGAAAGCCAGAGAGGCATAGAATTGCCTCAAAGAGGAGACACCTGAAATAAGAGTCAGGTTCACTCTGTGTTGTATACTGCAGTGGAGACAGGTTCTGGGAAGTCTGAGTAAAGACTGCAGTGGGCTGAGTACCCTGCTCTGTGCGTGGACACAGCAGGACAGCAGGTTGGGCAGTGATGATGCCCAGTGCACCCACCTAAGGAAGAACATCCATGTCTCTAGAAAGTCTATGTGGGGATGCTGTTGGGTAATGAATGTCCTTGCTGGGCATTCAAGACAGTTAAAGGCTGAACTGAAACTGATGCATTTATAAGATGATGATGGCTGGCAGGGGAACGGGGCTGTGGGCCGAGCTGGCCACAAGGCTGACAAAGCTTCCCTGCCACTCTGCGCACGGGACATGGAAGCCGGCTTGTCCCCGATAAATCAGCAGGCATCCTCAGACACTAATTAAAGATTACTTTCAGTTTCTAGCACTTTTAAAGGAAAGACCTGAAGGAGAAAATGAGCCTTTAAGTATCAAACTGTTCGGGCGTCTAAATAAAATAATTAAAACCACTAAAAGTAGATATTTGACTCAGGGCACCGTCTTAGAATACACTGACGGCACATCTGCATAGTTAGCAGATGAAACAATAATTAAAACTAACTGAAAGCATGATGTGCTTGTGCAGCTGTCCCTGTGCCTGCCGTGGACACCCCGGGATGTTGGAGTCCCACAGCTGCACCCCAGAGCTGGGTCTCTGCCCCTCCTCCCCACTTCTTCTTACTTAAAGTTGTACCAAAAATAAGCCTGTCTCTCCAGGTACTTTCAGATCCACTGTTACACTGATCATCTACTTGCAGCTCAAACACAGAGGGTCCTGACTTGGGATAGTTTGACACGATGACTTTTGATTTTCCAGTGACGTGAAACAATAGTAGCTCACTGTTTTCTAAATTTTGATCTTTTCACAGGTGAGCAATATGCATCCCAATACTATCATGATGCTGAGCAGTGACAGCCAGCCACATGTCCCAGTCACCCCGAGAGAGTGAGACCAATAAAAATATCCACAATAGCTGCACACATCTGAGGTCCCAGTGACTGGGGAGGCTGAGGCAGGAGGATTATAAGTTTAAGGCCAGCCTCAGCAACTTAGTGAGAGCCTGTCTCAAAAAAAAAAAAAAAAAGGGAAGGGGCTGGGGACATAGCTCAGGAAAAAGTGCCCCTGGGTTCAATCTTCAGTGTGTGTGTGTGTATATATATATATCTCCACCTCAGTTAAAATCAGCATTCTGCTAAAAGGAAAGAAGAGATAGAAGAGTTAAAAAAAAGACTAAGGCAAGACAGTCAAATAGTCTGCACTTCACACCAGGTTAGAGCCTGTGTGTGATGCTTACCACACACAAAACAGATCGTCCGGCAGCATCGGTCAGCACTGACCAAGCACCCATGGATCTGAAGGATGGAGGAACGCACCTCCAAACCCAGTCAGGACGTGACTGTCTTCTTGCTCAGTCTATTCTGCAGCTGGCAGAGTTTCCCTGTGGGCATGGTCCCCTCCATGGTCAATAAGAGTGCAATCAATGCCTCTTCCAGGAGCTGTCTATATAACAACACACAGCAACCTTGAAAAGAGGGCAGGAAAGATCTTACCTGGGTCCCTTTCGATTTGGACGGCCAGTCTTGTGTTGGAATTGTCCACTCGCCTCGTACTAGAAGGACCACAAGAGGGAAGAAGGCCATGTTAGGTCCCTCCACGCTAGAGGCCCCCTACAGAGCCCCACGGTGGGCGGGACACACAGAGGAGAAAGCACCCACGGACTGGAGGTGTGCTCAATTGGGACTGCACTGCGGGAGAAGGGGAGCTGGGGATGAGGCCGACTTGTCCGAGGCAGGTGGAGGGGAGAGGAGGGAGCCCTGATTCTGGGGATGGCCACGTCTTGTTCCCTCTTGAGCACAGACCCACAGAGTGAAAGCAAGGGAGAGCTTGCAGGGAAAGCTATTGCTGTTAACCGGAGGCAGTGTCCCCACAGGGCTTTGTCCAGGTGGGGTCTATACAGTGGTGCTAAGCAGGTGACACTGTGCACCTGCCTTCGTGAGTTGGGCACAGTGTTCAAGACCTTCCTGAGGGTGAACGACAATAAAGAATTAGCTCTTGTAAACAAGAAGACAGTGTCTGTAGCCGTTGTGACAAGTGGCCAGCAGGACACACACTGACCCCTATTCAAGCCTGACAGTGGCCCTGGGTCACAGCTTCTGGAAGACACTCAGGCCATGGCCACCCTTGCTCCTGAGAGAAGCCTACTCACTCCAGGCCTCTGAGAAGCAGCTGGTCATGTCTCTCCAGATACCCTCCTGTATGGAGGCGGCCAGCCAACTGTATCCCAGAATGTCACCTGTCCTCGACTGCCACACACCTCCAAGCCCCTTATAGATGCCTCAGCCTGCTCTGCTTGGAGAAACTGTGAGCACCCTCTCTAGCCGACGGGGAGGGTGGTCCTGTCCTGTCAAGGGTGGAACATGGAAGTGCTGTCAAGCCTGCGAGGCTCAGGATACTCCACTGGAATAACAGTGGCAACTTCACACCATCAGACCAGCAGGAGAGCACATTCTCCAAGACACAGCAGCACCGACCACAGGGCCTCACTTGGACGAGGACTCACCAGCCCCTGATACATGAGGGCCTGGGCTCAATCTCCTGGTCCCCCCTTGCCAGCGTCCTGCCGTGCATTCTGGGCTCCAGTCCTGGGCTTCCAGTACATCCCCTCCACACGCCCCAGCCTTCCCTGCATGTGTGGCCCTCATTTATCTTTCTGCTCATGATCCTGCTGGACCCCGTTTCCCCCCAGTCTCAGTGTAAGAGCACTTCCTCAGGACGCTGCCTGACCTCTGCTCTGGGTGGGGCTTGCTTGCCCTGGGCTCCATCGCCCCCCCACCCCACCTGTGCTTCTCCTTTGGTGCCCTGTGGTTGCTAATGTCAACAACAGGCAGCTCTCACCCACGCAAGCAGCCCTTGGGTGCGTCTCAGGCCTGCTCTGCATGCTCCAGGCATCAAATAACCAGTCTCCCAGAAGTTGAGGCCAGAAGGTAAAGTGCCCCAGATCACAGATCTGTTGGCCGGTCAAGCCAGGATTTGGACCCAGAGCCCAGGAGCCCAGACCCATGCCACATCCTGCGTTTCTGCGTGGTTGTCTGTACGCCGCTCATGGGAGACCCCAAACAGCAGGAGGGTGAGCGCTCGGATCCCAACTGTGGTCACTCAACAAAGGATAAAGCTACCTCTGAGGCTTCCTATCCCACAGTATCTGCTGGGAAGGGCAGGCCAGCAGCCACCAGTGCTGCACACTTGGCTTTGTGTTAAAATACATTGGTTGGCAAACTGCAAGTGACTTAATGGGTGACTAGCATTTGTCAAGAGAGGGAACAAGAAGAAACCTCGGAACAAGGTCTTTTGTGAACTTGTTTCTTGGAAATCGGAACAGAATAACAAATATTTGGAAGGAATTATAATTTGAATAAATGAAAAGGCTTGTCATTAGAAAACAAACAAACAAACAAACAAAAGAATCCCTTTCCTTCCTTGTCTTCCCCAGACATTGGAGAACATCCTGGTTGTAGACAAGACTCCAAAATGGGCAGAGAGGGCAATTCTGCCATGTGGCACACCACGGCCGAGACCTCAGCACGCTGCTCCGCAGGGCTCTGGGCTCCTTCCAGCTACCTCATAGCAGCTTTGAAAATAAGAGAGCCCAGGGTGTCAGGAAATAAAGCAAACAACAAAATTCTGTCTAATGAAGGCTGAAATCCCATGCCTGCATGGTTAGTCCCTAAATGGAATTTTAATTTCACCTTAAGACCTAGGACAAATGGAATTTTCAGCAGCAGAATAAACAATTTTTGAAGTGGAACTGAGCCAAAAGAAAGTCATTTGCCAAACTCCTTAGGGAATGAAAACACCTTCTAAAACCGTGTCCACTGGAAAGCTATCTCTGAGGGCTCTGGCCTTTCTGGAATGCACTGTGCTAAATTCTGAAGACCCACAGATCGGCTGTGCCACAGGGCCTCTGGCTCTCGCGTCTCCTCTCAGAAGGTGGGCTGCCGGCCATCCTGGGTAATTTGAGCTTTACTCCAGAGCCTTCCTCCTGTAAATCTGGTGCTTACCACTCAAAGGTGCTAATTAGCTCAGTAATTGGATTTCTGCCTTAACTGTCCTGTCGCATTACATCAGATCTGTTGCTCAGGGAGGAAACGGGGGCTTGGACCTCACGCCTGATCTCAGGGGGTGCACAGGGCATCAGGCATGCTTGCTGTGCCATCTTCTCAGCTCCTGCCTGACAAAGTCACCACGCATTGCTGGGCAAGGCTGTCCCCAGGGCTGCGGGCCCATCTCCCTGTAGGTCTCTCCAGAGAAGAAGGCAGCGAGGTTCCTCTCCAACCCCACCACGAGAGGGCTTCCTGCCTACAAGTTGGCCTTCCCACCCTGGTCGGTCCCCCAGGCCAAACGGCTCTCAAACAGATTCATGAAGGCGACTTGAATGGTTCAACAGTAATTTTCTTCGGTGGTACGACTCTGATACCTCGTGTGGCGGGGGCATTCCTGGGTGTTGACCAGGAACCGTGACTGCTGGAGTGAGGGGTTCGCTGGGTTCTCCACATAGCAGACCAACCTGGGGTTAAGGATGGATGGTGGACTCACTGATGGGCAGGACCACTTTAGGGGGATCCTGACAATAGGAAGGCGGCCAGTGTGCCAGCGGAAGGCCCACCTCCTCTAAGCTGGACAGTGCACCCAGCCCTCCAGGCTTGCTGTCCACCTTCATGCCGCTGCCACCAGCAGCCACGTCAGTTCTTGCAGAGCCAGGGAGGCTGGTTGTCTCTAGAGTGGAACCACTGTGCGCCTTGGAGATCGCACAAGGGCGGTCCCAGTGTCCTGAGGAGGCATGTCCCACAGCGAGTGCGTGCTGGAGTCACGTCTCTCAGGCCTTCATGTCCCTGCCTACTTCTGGGCACATGATGGTCCCGGGCTAAGAAACACGAACATCTCTCTACCTCTGTCCTGTTTCTATGTTTTGTCAAATTTCTTTTTTTTCCCCATGAATTTTGCTATTTAATTTAAAGCATTTATAGTCACAGTTATTTTCTTCTTTGTGAGTTCTGGTCTTCAGCATTGCAAAGTGTCCTGGATCCTAACGGAGCTGCTCAAGTTCATCTGTGTTTAACCGGAACCAGAGCCGGGGCTTTGATCTCTATGCATTTGCCCACTGCTTTCTCTCATTCTCTTACTTTCCGTTTCTCAAGGTACCACATTAAGGTCTTTTCATTTGGTGTCACACTGTCTTCATGGTTTATTTTGCTTTCTAGTTAATTTTTTATTTTCAAACACATGACTCTATGGTCTGATTATAAAATAATAAAGACAAAGCCACGAACTCATAAGTCATAAGACAACACTATGGATAACACAATCCTGAATAATCCGTGGGTCAAAGGTAAAGGTTCAATAGGAAATAAAATGTGCTAGACTGAAAGAAAATAAAAATAAAGTATACACAGAAGCAGGCTCACTGTGAGGCAGCTCTCCCCACTTGAACACAGAGCCCACACGGCCCAGAGGAGAACTCATGCCACCAGGGAGGGAGGGGAAGCCTCAGACCCCTAGTCTATCCTTCCACCTCAACAACCTACCAAAAAAGACAGCAAAATAAACCTAAAGGTGGTATAAGGAAGGAAACAAAGATGAAAATGGCAGACAAGTTGGGAACAGTGAAGAATCAAAGAACAAGGAGAGCACTCTGAAGATATTAATAAAATTGACCAATCTGTAGTAAGACTGACAAAGAACAAGAGAAGAAACAGAAATGATCAACATCTGTAATGCTGGTATTATTGCAGACCCTACAGATATGGAAATAGACAGCAGGGAATAGTACAAATATTTCATAAGCATAAATTTTGGTACTTTAATAAAATGGACCAATTCTTTAAAAAAAAAACAAAAACATTATTACCACAATCAACCCAGTATGAAGTGCATCACTCAAACAGCCCTGTAACTTTAAGATCGTTTAAGTGATCATTAAAAACCACCCCAAAATAAATCTCCAAGTCTTGACAGCCTCACTGGAAAATTTTATCACATTAAAAAAAAAAAGAAAGAGCACCAATTACAGATAGTAATTGTGTGATTTATAGTGTCTCCCATAAATTACAAGACCAAGAGCCGCTTTGCAGTTCATCTGATGAAGCTGGGACTGCCCTGATACCAAAATCTGATAAAAGTAGTATGAAAAAAATAAAACTACAAATCAATATCCTGCATGAATATAGATACAAAAGTCCTTAAAATGTATTAGCAAATGAAATTCAGCAATAGATTCCTAAATGTCTATACCATGACCATGTGGAGTTTATTCCAGGGTCCCAAGGCTGGTTCAATGTACAGAAATCAGTCACTGTAATGGACCATACTTTCAGGCCAAAGAAGAAAAATCGTATGATCATGTCAACTGATACAAAAAGGAAGTTAACAAAATCTATAATGATTTTCATTTCTAAAAATCCTTTCTGAAAAATAGGAGCAGAGAAGAATTTCCTCACCTACTAAGACCCTAGAGCTGACACTGTATTTAATTGTGAAAGATTAAAATGTTTTCTCCGTAAAGTAGGGAAAATTGCAAGGCTGTCCTCTTTAATTGCTGTTATTCACAAAGAG